ACGCAGGATATCCTTAATATATCATTCCGTTTAATAATTCTTCAAGATCTCCGATAGATCGTTCTCTGAAATGTCGTCGCAAAAGACTCGAAGAGAGGTCACGTTGCGCTTGGACCATTATCTGTCGATGGTTCCAACGTGCTTTCTCCCTTTGGTACTGTTTCTCACCGTTGGGAAGAATAATTTCATCCGTACAGAGACAGGTCTGTTGTTTCGAACCGTTCCATCGATATTTCATCTGAAGCACATTCTATCTGAAGTAGAAAGGACTGGGATAAAGTACAGTGACGGCGTGAATATTTAGACATTGCGGTGGTTAAATCATAAAAGATGAATGTATGTGAACTATGCTTCGTTGGAATGTTTGGACGTCTGTTAAAATATGGCACAATTCTTAAAATGTGTTGACATTGGTTTTGTCGTTGGTTATGGATGGTTTCATAATTTTGTAAATGCTATTATTGATATATTTCCATTTATTTAAATTATATAAAATTCTATAAAATATATAGGCATTTTTCTTCAAACAAGAATTTACTACAGTGTTTATTGAAACTTAATATTTAAAATAGTAAATGGCTTTGCAATGAACAAATTATTTGTATAATTTGGAATATAAAAGTAGCATAATTAAATAAAAGATTCTGTTCTGACGCCACAAAGGCTTAAGCCTCCAATTGAATCGCAAAGTCGTGCATCCTTCGTTGAATTCGACAAAAGACAAAATTGTTCACCAATATTCTTTTTAATGCATTCGAGGTGAACGTAGCGAATACCAATTCGAAAGTGCAGTCATATCGAGGAGCGCGTTCGTTCAAGCCTGCATTTAAAGCGGAAAAAAAATTTAATGCCTGCCAACTCGATGACAGTCTATTCGATTTACGGTAGCAAGTGTTAAAATTGACGAACATTCAACGCGTGCCGACTGGCCCCGCGGTTCAATTGGCCGGACGGAAAAGTCCGGAATAAACGAAATTCAGTTTAATGAATGCGAATTAGCGTATCCAAATTACAACATTGAAATAGTTTTCGGTAAATTGCTCCAAAGTAGAGCTACAAATGGCTAGTAATTTTATGGGAAATACAGGACCATTTTAACGGATGAGTTACCATTAATTAAACATTTTGTAAACTATTACACGATTAATATTACAAAATTGAACGCATCGGTAACTTCTAAATATTTGACATCACACAGTGGAATTAATTACTATTCTTTCATTTATATTCGTTCACGTTGTGTATTTACTTCGTCGTCATAAATATTGACAACTTCGTTACTTTTTAAATAAGACTTTGCAAATTTATTCGTGCTTTGTTTCCATGTTTTACGTTCATACTATCGGAAATTCACCCCCTTGGTGAAAGTATTTTACTATTTGTACTGCATAAACAGCCACGAACAGTATTAATTCAGTCGCTTTAAATGAAAATTTAATTGACTGTTTTTGTTCTCACCCTCTTTTACTGTGTACGTTTCAATTCTGTTGGTACTTCTCGTGTTCACAGAGTCGATAGATCTGTTAAATGTTTAAAACGTATCTTTGTATAGCAAACTGACAATAAGTACATATACAGAGCAGACCAATAACTTTAACCACCTGGAATATCTTAGTTATTTTTACAGATATGGAAAATCTTTATTTACAAAACTTTTATAGTGCTGAGGGTACTATAACATGTCCAAACAAAGAAACAAAAGAATATAGCATGCCATTGAAAAAAGTAGGGATGACCTTTAAACCTTGTATTCCCAAAAAAATTATTACTGGCATACTTTAACCCCCTTGGTACTGTAAAACTCTTGTAAATATAACCTTTTCGTATCTTCAGAAATAACGTAGATATTCCAAGTGGTCCACCCTCATCCACCTTGTATAGACAAACAGTACAATGCTCTTAACTTCATGATTATGCATGTTACCTATGTGAAAAGAAATAAATGTTACTAGAAAACAGTGAAAATTTGGTTCAAAGTATTCTATTTCTGCTTAAGCTATTTTTTTAAACACTGACCAGTGACTGATTGCGATAAAAATCTATTAACTTGTTGGAAAGAAAAAATAGTTGACCGGAGTTTCTATATTTCAGATGTAAAGTCCGATTTCCTGAATGTTCTTAATTTTTAATTTAGCTGCAACGGTGCATGAAACGTCAGAAGACACAACGGGACCCGTTGTTCTTCCATCTTGAAACCAGTAGTTTCTGCGCTACGAATGAACCCGCGTCGCGTAGCGGCTTCGAGTTTCCCGCGGCATCCATGCCAGACAGGGGGTAATAATTGAATTAACTTCGAGAACGATGAAAACGTCGCCGTTAGAAGTTGGAATTAATCTCGTCTGTCGCGTATTTGCGCGCTTTAATTCGGAAATTAACGCCCAGGCGAACGTGCATCAGCGGTGCCGTGTAGGTACGCGTGACGCGGAAATAATATTAATTAACGTCGCCCGGTGATATCGATGGTCGTTAACAGGCGACGAAAAGGTAAAAACCGGCACTTCCGCATCTCTAAATTTAACGTAAACCGGTTTCAGATAGAATTCACGGGATTTGAATATTGATGAAGCACGTTAATGCTCTGACACGATTAATTTGAAAACTGAAGCGCGGTATGCAGAGTAGCAATTTTGTTTTCCTTGTTTATTTCTTCATTATTCGATCAATTTATATTATTTCCAGGATAGACTGAGATTAAATATTTAAAGCTGGAATAGTTCGAGTTTGAATATTTCAAGTCGACACATTTTAAATTTGAACACGTATTTTTAAATTTGAATACACATTTCGAGTCAGATGTGTCGATTTAAAATATTTCAAATGAAATCATTTCGGGCTGAAACATTTTAAGTTGAAACATTTCGAGTCGACACATTTTGAATTTGGATACATATTTCGAGTTAAATGTGTTGAGTTCGAATGTTTCGAATCAAAATGATTCGAGTTAAATCATTTCAGGTTGAAACATTTCGTGTTGCAATACTTCGAGTCAAAATACTTAATATTTCTCTGGGTCACACGTGACTCAATTCACCAGGTTGAACAAGATCATAAGAAATTATTCATATTCTACTGGTACGCTTTATTTCAGAGCAAAAGGAATACAGGATATTAGTTGTTACGCAGTATTAACTGTTTCAGTAATAGTACCTTAACCACTAATCTCAGAAACAGCATAGTCCAAACTTCTGTACTTTTTCTATTCAATCAGATCCTATTTGACATCGACGGCTGACGTTCACAAAATCCTTTACGTTTATTCCTCACACCCTTCTTTCCTGCACGCTGACGCTTTAACACGATCGAGCATACACGCGAAGCGACGACGAGCCAAAACGCTACCTGGTCACGACAGACAATACGTGCATCTGACTCGACCGTCTGGATAAAATGTAATCGAGCCGATCCCATTGCCTCCTACTTGATACCCGTTCCACCATTCCGATATATCGAATTCTATCCGCCGTCTGCACGGTCAGATAGTTACCTTCGCTTTCTGACCCTGCTCCTCTACTGTTGACCTACTCCCCGTCGTTTCTATCGTGCCTCTTCTTTGTGTCTTGTTTCCTTGATCGTCTCGCTACTCCACCATCATACCCTCTTTCCCGATTTGTTCATGACACGCCTTTAAACCTCCCTCGATATCTGTCATTTATATTTTGACCTGTGACTAATTTTGGACGCCGAAAAAAACAAGTATAAAACTAAGTAGAAGAACATACAAATTGAAGGGTATGAGGAAAAGAAGGGACGTCCAGTTTTTATGATTTTACGGTATATAACGCATTTTATTGGTGCCAACTGGGACTACAGAACTGTCGAATCACAAAGTGTTACACAATTGAAATGTCTACATAAGATAACGTTAAAGATGGTCTAATGGTTAAAAATAGTGGTGAACTCTAGTATTAAAAATGGATTACCTCGATACAACTGTTTTGTGACTTTCCTTGCTTCTTCCCCTTATCCTTCAAATGGAGTATGAAAAGGGGACACGTCACGTAAATAATTCGATTTGGAATAATTTATTTAGTTGAAAGTGGTTATATTGATTGAGACAGGGATAGCAAAGACTATTTGCGAAAGATCCAATCATTGGAGACAATGAAGAAAGTTTATATTCCGCAATAAAACTTTATGCTCGATCGTTAAACTTCTTCAACGTAATCCTTAAACCGGATTTAAACTTCTATGTTTAGTTTTATTACATTTAACGTTGTTATCTTAATTTGATATACGTGCATGCGCTAGTATATAGGACATTTTCAAGTCTGTTTGAAATCCACTAACACTAATTCAAATGTTCAACCTATATCTAGTTCCACCCTGTATACTGATATGCTAATAGACACCAATATTTTATAGTACCAATATATTTTTTAGTACCAATATTTTATTTATTTAATGCTTAAATAAAGTATCTCAACAGTATGACGATCGATGATGCCACAATGGCATATAAGTGTCAATCGGTACTTTTCAGATATCTAAAATTACTGAATATTTTTGCATACCTAATAAAAACCATAGTTTGTTAGTTCTTGACAAAAACATTCGGCCGCTGGTGAAAGTTACTCGCGTTACTAGCTGGTCATTATAGTGGTTAATATTGTCATGTGGAAAATGAATAACTGCAATCAATGCAATGAAAGGTATGAAGCTCCATTAACAAAATACATAGCTTCATCTCTACAAATGGTATCTGCAGGATGTTGTACTTCTTCGATACATTCATGTGTAATATAATTTACTAGACACATTAATTCTTTATTAAAAAAAGCAATCAGTAGCTTCAATCACCACATTTCCATGTACAAATAATTTATATTATAGTAATCACTTTATAAAAAAAGTCACTACAACGAAAAAAAAATCATTCAACGTTATTTTAACATTGGAATCTTTTCAAAGACATATATAAACAAAATGGTCGTTCTCTCAGATTTCAGTAAAGGAACGAACAAACGAAATCTCTTAGCACCGAAAATGATTTTCTGTTACAGTGGTCAAAGGTACAGCTGGCGAAGTTCTCGATTCTGGAGCATCAAATGGATCCGAGCAGCAATTTCAGTAGCTATCGCAGCACACTGAAAGCGGCGATGTGGCGTAGCGCCGGCGCTACGGACGAAAGGCAGAGAATCGTCGTGCCCTTCTTCAGCTTGCTGGTCAAGGATCTCTACTTCCTGAACGAGGGATGCAGCAACAAGTGAGTAAAAAACCTCACCTTACTCCCACCCTTGGTCGCATTAATCATTTAAGGGCACTCGAGGAAATTTCAAGTTTGATAAAAATTCAAGAGATTCAGTCCCGCTTTCACGCTCTAAGTAATTACAACTTACGTCCCGGTGAAATTGACAAGCACTTTTCATTAACTTTTCGTCCATTTCCCTTGCTCGTTCCGTCGTCTGTATTAAGGGCCTCCTTCTAGATATTTCGAAGAATTAGTCTCTTATTTATTTAATATTAGGCAATAAATAATCCACTATTTTTTACCAAATTTAATATTTGTTTATAAAAGAATACAAACACATGTCTCCTTAATAATATCTGTTAGCTATTCTTCTCTAACATCTTACACTGTTTTTATGAAGCTAAGGTACTAGTTTTTCTAAACAGGGTCCTACAAAATTGCTGCAGTGTACCGAACAAAACACTCAATACTTTGTTTTATAAAGCTTACGGTTATTATATACGTTACATACATAATGTTACAAATTTTTAACCACTTCTACAGTATTTATAAAGTAGAATTTACATAAATATATGTATACAGTCTACACATTTAATAACTAAACTATGAATAGTATAAATTTATGATATAGGCCAATACGTAACACAGAATGAACCAAAAATCAATAAAGTTCGTGATCTACTTTTTCCTTAATAAATTCCTTCACAGGTGAAATAAATACCTCTTGACCTCAAGTCTTTATAAAATGATCTATAAAAACATGAATTTATCTAATCATTCACAGTATATTAATGAGTAGACCATTTCCACTTAAAAAATATCTTCCTGATCTTTCGCTCAATAATAACCATCCAAGATACTGCAACTTAATTACAGAAATGTATAACACAGTGTAGATCGGTAATTTCTTTAGAAACAAGTATTGATTCACTGATATACTCGATATTACATTTCTGATGCTCGCGTAAACAATCGTTTGCACGCGGTGCCACGAATTCCCATTTCCCCGCGAGATTTCAAAATTTCATCCGGGAGCTCGCAGGAATAATTATAAAGTAATCTAAGTTCACCCAGAGGTGCGGCGTGGATTCCTCGAGCGCTGTGAAACACGATCGACGATTTCCCATCCAGAAACGCCAAAGCCGAGTTTTCTTTTTTGTTGGCGATCTTTTGAAGCTTCGATAATTTTGTTCTGACGATGGTGATACGTCGACGCGAGAGCTCGGTCTCCCGCAAAGCGGGTCGACTCTTCTTCGGTCCTTTTTGTCGGGCGTATTTATTACGACGACGAATGTGCCATGCCATTTCCTTCGCCTTCCTGTGCGCGAAAAACGCCCCCCCCCCCTGTTCGCTTCTTCCCCCGGGTTCCACGTGTAAACTTATTAAACTTGTAATAGCAAAAGTTGTTTCCCCGTAGCCTCGAGTAGAAGTTGCTGAAAAGACGAGAAGAGTGAATAGGGCGTGAGACAGAGAGAAACAGAGATCGAGGAGAAGGAAAAGCAAAATACTTTCGGTGTTCGCTTTTCTTATTAACATTTCCGACCCTGTACATACATTGCCTCTACTATTTTCTCGTTATTAGTCACATGTGCTTGATAATCTATTTCGAAAGTCTATATTTTTACAAATACGTTGACGATGTTTACTTAATTATTGCATGAAAAGAGTGATCGTCGAGATGAATTATGCACAGATTAAGATTAAAATGTAAACTGAAATTCTGTTACAGTACGTGTCTTCACACATACAAAGAGATATTTTGAAAATTCCAGGACTAATCGTATTAACGAATACGTTTTATTTAGAGACCTTTAGAGTCTCGCTGTCTATATAAAACCAGAAAAACTTATTATATATATACTCACGGGTATAAAAAAATGCACGATACTAATATTTTACTTCGTAATTAGTATGTAGCCATATGACTACCGTCGCGAATATTTAACAACAATCGGGCTTGTTTAATCATTACACTGACACGGACCGTGCTTTTTATTCGACGAACTCATTATGCGTACGATTGCACGGCCGAAATGAGATCGTTCCTCGACAGCTCGGTATACGTGGTCGCGTGGACTTTAGTCCAGGAACGAAAAAAAGAAATCCTATCCGAAACTGTTCCGGCTACTTGAGGCGGTATTTACTGGACAACTGCGTGCATAATACCGCGAGTGGTGGCTTGCATATATGCAGCGGCCGTTGCAACGCATAACATATGCGCATTAAACTCGCAACAGCGCGCGCTATCTCCGAAATGGCGGAGGAACGGCAGTCTCGGGCAAAATGTGTACCTACGTTCGCAGGAGGGCCAACGTCGGAACACAGCACAGGCGAACGTTTTCCCTGAATTGCTGGAACAGATCGCCTGGCGCAGACAGGGGCATACAAATTGCTCCAAGACGATCGCAGACTCCAGACAAATGCCTGTGCATTATGGGTTTTAGCCCGTGAAGCCGGATCCAAAGCTGTCGCTGATTTCGGACGGGTTCACGTGAGAGAAATTTGCAATAATCTCTGTCGGGAAACGTTTCGCAGACGTCACTGCTATTTTCTGGTGAATCGAATGCTTGGTTTTGTATAATGATGAGTAGTCGCACAATGTTAATTAAGTAACGGCGAAGGAAATAGTGTGGTCGATGTAATTTTAATTGGACAAAGTATTCTATTCCGTATAGATTCGTATTATGTAATAATTTTGTATACACGTAACCCTCACAATTATAGTTCGTGAAATTTGAAGTGACCTATTTAAGAAGAAACAAAGTTATATAAATAAATTATAAATTGTTAATATTATGTTGTGATTTTTCTACTTAGGCCATAGAGGAACGTCTCTAATGGTATTGTATATATATTATTTACTAGGGTAATTCATAAATATCACATGTCAGTCTATTTTGTTTGTCTATTTTAGAGGCATTTGCAACACAGAAAAAACAGGTAATATACATGAATTAGTGCTGGTCCGAAGGGGCAGATATAATGGTACATAACTAATTATGTCGCGTGATCTAAAAAAAATAATGTATAAAAATATTATATATAAAATATAAACTCCATAAACATTCTATTTTCTGTATTATACATATTATAACCAAACGTTCCGAAAACGTGGCACTCGGCGTTACAGGGTTAATTCGTCGACAGCTACAAATGAAGGCTCCAAAAACCAGCAGGCATCAAGTCCGTACTGAAAACTTTATCTCCACAATACCCAAACGCAACCGAATTCCAATAATTACCCTCGACGCGTTTCGCAGCACTTCCAACCTCGATACGAGTCTCTATTCCAAGAATCTTCAATCGCGTCAAAGTATCAATAACTTCAGACGGAAGGCTCTGCATCGATTCCCGATGCGTCCCCTATACACAGTCTAATAAGGAAAAAAGGGTCTAGCTCTAACCAATTATCTGCCATCCCTTCCCATCACCCCTCCAGTGGACAAAATCCGTAATGGAATTTCGATCCGAGTCGCAGGGGTAGAGGGATGGTGATCGGGGGGTGGTCGTGGAACCGCGTAGGGAAGATGGGTTTCTCGGTTGCTGTGGATAGGTATTGGCCGATCCATTCGAGGATCCAGGCAACGGGAAGACGAATGGTTGCCCGTATATGTAAACGTCTGTTACGTGCGCGTTACGCCTGGCCCGTAGGAACGAGGATCGCTTGTATGCGCCCCGGAATTTCGCGTACATCCTGCCGACGATAAATTGCCCAAGTTCGATTCGTAATTTTCCGACGCCTTCGAAAACGCGTGCCCCCTCTATTCGCGGACAGTTGTATCGTTCTGTAGATCGTTACCCGGGGGAAAATTCGTTTCAGGCCGCATAGTGTGCGAGCGACGAAACGCTGAACACTCGTCCCGTTTTTTTTCCCCTCCCCTCCTCCTCTCGGTTGAATCCGACAAGTTCGGGAAACGGGAACACGGCACTGTGCGAACAGACTTCGAAACGACGAGTTTCGAGCTGGCGAGTATCGATTTTTTTTTTTTTTTTTGTGGATGCTGATTTGCATAGGGTTTCGTAGCGTGGGGATATTCGGTGATCTGGGATTCTTGAGGTAGGCGAGTTACGGGGAACAGTTTCTTGGTGGGAATCGAGTCGAAATCCGTGGTCGAGGCGGTGGGATTTATTTTCAGGCTTTACGAATTTGTTGAAATCTTTTGCAACGGTGTGTACATTTCGGGAAAATATTATGGAATAATACGTATTTTATTAACCGTCGCGTGCTGTTCCAAGTTTCAACGGAAACTAATATTGATTATATTTTCGATTCTAGAAATTTGTAAATTAATTTGACACCAGTAGGTTGGATATATTGTAATCTGGCGGTCGCAAGATGATAGGGGGAAGGAGAAATTAAGTAGTGGAAAAGTAGGAGAAGATGGAGTAGAGCGGGTAATTATTTAGATCTCTGACTCCGTACCGATTTCAGTGACCTTGAAATTTGTTGTCAAAGTCCTCATTCAGAACAACTGATTTCTGTGCATGTTACCGTCGTTTGGTTTTAGTTTCCGAGAAATTCGCAGAAAAATTATTTGTACCATGAATGAACAATGTTCGATGTACACAGGTTGTGGCCGGACAGGTGGTACGCTCGGGGGTGGGAGTGATTCTACGTGCAAAAATAAGTCGAAAAAACAGAATTACAGTTTCTCATCCAAAGCTTAGTTTTCAAGAAAATTGAATTTGAAGATTCATCTGCAACGCGTGAATTCATGCTAGAAAATAAGTAGAAACGGAATGCAATGAACAGACGCGTTAGCCAAATCACCACCTAGTGTTAACGACGCACCAAACATGTCTACAATTTCCCAAACAAAGCGAAATCGTTCTTTCCCAGTCGCACTTAAATGACAGATATTCAGACTCGCGACAAATACTTTTTTTCATCATAATATTATATGAATACATATGACCGAAATCTTTTTATAATTCCTCTGGAACAGTCTGTGTGTGCCCTTACCTATTACCCAAAGAATAATTTTAAAAAGTTCCGAGATTATTTGCACATAAAATCACATTGCCTTCAAAGTCTATATAGAACTTGAAGGGACTACTTCGAAACTTTCCGCGTCTTCCTCGCAAACTGACCACTTTGAACCCACTTCTTGAAATTACAAAATGAAGAAGCGCCAAAAGCTTCTCTCCCTATAAACTTTCCTATTGCCAAATGAAATATTCTGTTTCAATATTAACTCACGGAGAGAATACGTATAGCAGATGAAATTTGTTGTGGAGATTGGGTCGTCATGTAATAAACGCGACCTAATTAGATAAAAGACTGAATGCTGTAATTAGACCTAATTAACATTAATCGAAATAATTGGAGACATAAAGAGAAATTATACTTTATTCAATTTTATTTCTTAATGTTTTTACTTTCAGAACCCAAAGTAAAACACATTCTAACAGGATTTGAAAAACGTACCTATACGTCTGTAAAAAAAATGAAGAACGTGTTAGGGAAAGTGGTTCTTAGATACACATTCAACCGATACTAAGTTGTAATATGAAAATACATATTGTTCTTGTTTCAGTATTATCTTATCGTTCACTTCCGATTGCATTGTACGAATTTCTTCATGCGTCTCGCGAGATGTGTATTAATACATGTCTAAATTAATTAATTTCAAACTCATACAGTAGAATGAAAGGAGGTCTCATTAAATTCAAATCAATCCAAGCATACGTCAAACGGAAGATTGATTAATATAGAGTAATCCTGAAATCTATGGGGCTAACCATTAAGTTCGTGTATCTATGCGTATCGAGGGATGGGGAGAGGAGCTAATGTGATCGGGTATATCCGAAATTAATTTAACAAAATAACAAACAACCTCCATCCTGCGGGGTAACGCCTCGCGCTACGTAAACACGTGACAACGTGTGCACATTAAAGGATTCGACCGCGCGATTATCGATCTGCTGTATCTCGAACGGAATATTCTTGCTTAACAAGAAATATGATACTAATAATAAAACAGTGGATATTTTCATACAGTGCAGAGTTAATGAATATTTTGTTTAACTTCGAAAATTGGAGTTTACGAAATGAAGGTAAACGAGGCTTTCCATTAAAGCAATGATTCCTTCCATTGGTTCTATGTAATATTTGACAGAACCGTATTAAAAGTAAATATGTTATGAACTACATCTGTTAATGAAGTTTTATAACTATGTTACGTTTTCAGAACATTTTAATGAAACGTAAGTTCGTTGATACGTGACACTATTATACATACATAGCATTATTAATTATTTAAAACTCTCCTTTACTTATCTACAGTAATGAAAATCTATTTTTAATATCTCTAAAATCGTTAAAAGCAGTCGTACATTATAAAATGTATATGAAATATGAAAATGAAATATGGATATGAAATGGATAATTTATTGATAATGAGATTATTATTAATATATCTCTATAATCGTTGTTCCAGGCTACCGAATGGCCACATTAATTTCGAGAAATTCTGGCAACTGGCGAAGCAGGTGACGGAATTCATCGCCTGGAAACAAGTTGCGTGCCCATTTGAGAAGAACCCGCGTGTCATTGCGTTTCTCCAAGCTAGCCCGGTGCTGACGGAAAATGGTAAACTATTAAATATATTTTATATGGATTTACTCACTGTGAAACAGAAGTGTTCAAGCTTTGACCGACGAAATTGTAACGAACATGCAATAACTCGCTCGTTTATTCATACAAATTCAAAAATATAATTAACTATGCATATTTTTTATAGTCAGAAGAATATCTTTATTGTAATAAATGTTAAAAAATGACTTGCTCGTCAGAGTTATAAAATTAAAGGATAAAAATTTCTATATATTGTCTTGTATAAACCATATTAAATAGTAAATTTTCTTTGTACATCTAATACAGCCCTGGCTTTGGCATCGTTCGAATGTGAACCACCAGACAACAACCCGGAAAAAGAACGTTATAAAGCTTTAAAGTAAGTAATATTAACAATGTATTTACTCCCTCAATACAAGAAATGAAGTATTCTCAATCGATCAATGATTTCCAATACTCAGTTTGCAATACTGTTCCATCTTTCTTGTCATTCGGCAAATATTTACAAAATGTCAAACTTAATTGTAATATCATCAGAAAAATTACCACCCGCGTCACGAAACATATCCTTTCTTTTTGAATTTCTTGTCAACAGGTCCGAACTAAATGCTCAGTGAAAAAACGCTGCCGCGCAACGCGTCGAACGGGAGCGATATTAGCTGACCGGCATGTAAACCGACGCTTTCCAACAAAACGTTAACACAGTTAAAACGTTAAACAGCCTTCGTACAGGCGAAAAGAAGCAAAAAGAAAAATAGAGAAACAAGAACGAAACATCCGAATGGTGAACAAGAGACTCGCCCGGGGACGCTGAACTGTGCAAAGAAGAAAAAGAAAATTCCGATACAGCGATGCGCTCGTGAGTAATAAGAACAGAAACATCGGAGGGAGAATTTCACCGTGTAGTGATCTCGCGTCGTTTCAAGGGCATCGTTTAGATATACCATCAAACGATCGGTGCAGTCGTGATTTTTCTCGGTGCAACAAACCTTATTTCCTTCCGTTTCATCGACGATACAGAAATCACCGAACGCACTTCCTTTATTACATCCATAAATTTCTTCGCGATGTAACATTTCGCTGCAACATTCACGTATCGTGCGTGTAGTGATTCATGTACACGAACGGTTTCAATCGCGTTTAGTTCCATTTCTTCGCTCACACGACGCGTCACGATAGTTCGAAGGAACTGGGTAAGCTCGAGCGCCGGAACCGGAAGCTGACTGCACCGATTGAAGTCGTCTACGGATCCTCGAGACCCGGTCCGTTAGAACGAGCACGAAAAATTCACCGGACAGTATCCGCGTAGCAGTAAGTATAGTTCCTAAGCCCGAGGCCAGCGAAAAGAGCGTTCCCGGATACGCTCACTCCCTGCGCCTCCACTTCCGGTCCCAGCGACGAACCTCGCCGATTGGACGGCCGTGAGAGCCCGTCTGGCGGCGGGACCGTGTCTCGCGCGACCGATTCCCTTTTGTACATAGTCCTTTTGATATACGCTAAACGAAACCTCCTAGGCATGTGAACAGAGGGACACAGCCAAGATGAGGAGTGAGAGAATCGGCGAAACAAGAAGTATATAGGTTCGTTCCTGTAGAGTAAGCTCGAAGTTGCCGTTTTAAGGTTCTAGTTGCCCGTTTTGAGAGTCGTCGTGCACGTACTTAACGACACGTTTTCGAGATCGTTAATCGAGAACAACTTGGGACAGTAGATGTCGCTCGCAACGCACACGGCCCCACCACGGGCCGTGCAGTTATTCAGGAAGCGTTTATGTATCTTTCCAGCGTTGACGGTATCACTTGAGTTGCCTAGTTGACGGCGACGTGTGGGGTCGCATGGTTTTTGGAAATATCTGATTATTGTTTGGTTGTCTTCGAAAGCAGTCGCTTGAAGTTGAATCAGTTACTATCATCACTGAACCAGCCAGTTACCTAAGGTTTTAAGTAATACACGTCGTGTTTTAGTTATTGAAAACCCTCCGAGTACCTAATTCAATAGAATTATGACGAATTAAAGCTCATCCAATACCAAGAAACACGAAATCTTTTTATAGACATCAGTGAAAAACCATTTCCAACGCACGCATCACCGTTCAAATAATATTTGTATATTTTCCTTCGACGATCATCCGAGCTTTGTTTGCGCTAAAGATGTGGATCCATGTTGCGACGATTCAATCGACCGAAAATCCACCGATCGAGCATACGGTGCTACGGTTTCGTTTATTGCCTGAATAAGCTCACCATAGACAGTGAAAAGATTTTAGAACAAAAGAAGGAAAACATAGGACTGGAGGAGAGACGAAATGGGAAAAAGGTTTTGAGAAAACATAGGGACCAAGAGTTCGTTTTTCCTGAGTATAAACTGCGTCTGCGAATGGGGGAGGGGGTAGGGAGAGACGAAGGATCGCGAGGACTCGCGATCCAGAGAGGAAGTGGAGAAAGCAGACGAACTTTCCGCTCGGTGATTTGTAAACTTCGCGTACTGAGAGAAACCTTGCAGTCATTAGACATTTAAACATAGAGTTTTTTAACAATAGTCATTAGATATTTTCTCGCAATCCTGGACAATTTGTGAATTGCAATTACGCGACGAATTTAATACCTTTCGAGTATTTGCAGGATAATACGATTAATAATGACTTTTAACAATTTTCTGTATATTGTTTGTGCGTATTGTGAAAAGCTGTTTTGCAGTCTGAACTGCATCATCCTGCGTTCACGGTAAGAATGTATTATACATTGTTTCATTGTAATTTAATTAATCGTACGAACGCATTAACAAACGTTTCTTGCTTTTTCACGAAAGCCGAGCTTGTATTTAATAAGCGAGAAGTTTGTTCGGCGTCGAATCATGTGTATTTAGCAGCATACGGTGTACAAATCTTTTTTATCCGCCAGATTTTATTTTTATTATTTTCTCGTAGATCTTCGTTAAGACACGTGTAAATTAAGCGAACGTCGAAGGAAGCTCGTTTTGTCTTTACCTTTTTAATCTATACACGACACTTCCTTTTCTTCTTACTGTTCCTATATTATTTATACGATCATATTTTTGGATGTACGATATTTTAATACCGGAAAAATTATTTTTCTACATTTCTATTGACACTCGCGTGATAAAAAGCTTTGATTTTAATTAAGTTTAATCGCGACGGACTAGGTTTAAAGGAGTACAATTGTGTAGTTTACATTAAAGGGACGCCTTGTGTTATGAATGTAGTGGATAATATGTTTGATAAATAGATTTTTTTTCTCTCAGTACGAGAAACAGAGGAAAAATGTGTACCATAAGCAACAGAGTAGCGTCATATGTACGCGGACGAACCAGTGTCTACGCGAAGATCGCGTGATAAAGAAAGTATAAATCATCGATAGAGCCGCCAAAAAATGAGGACACCATTTCACGTCAGACTCCTTTCTCCAATGACTTTTTTTAGGACGAAAATTACCATTGACGCGTACATTAACCTGGTTTAACAGCATTATAATTTCTTCCACGGTCTTACTTTTGATACGATTTGTATATATTATGGTAAATGTCGTCAATTGATGTTTTTATACAGTTGTTATTGCAAGAAACGAAAGTCTTAAATGAAATATACAATGCACGTTTACTGTAGATTGACATTTTTAAAGACTTACTGAAGAATTTTAATTCATATTTCATCTAATCCAAAGGATAAAGATTTTATAAAATCGTCACTTATTGCGTAGGAACACCAAATTAATTATTTTTTGGATGATATACAATGTTAAATTATGTTATTTTAAGAATTTTATGAATGCTTTATATATAAATTATAATTTAGATTTACTTTCAGCAGCTGTAATATATTTTGTTTTTACTCTATGTATATTGTATTTAATCCTATACTATTTTATTTATTAGAGCATTTATTTATAACTAGTTCACATACATTTTCTATATTAAATCAGTTTTGCACCATCGTCGAGATATAACATTTGACTATTAAATTCACAATTCAAAGTCGCTGAAAGTAGAGAAATGAGTCTGACAACACAGAGCCCGAAGAACGTTCTGTCATTATGGTACGTTTACATCGCTATGCCACTTTGCTGAAGAATATATTTTCAATTCTTAAAACGGATTCAATTTTAATGCCGTAACGCGCATAAAGATGATAATCTTTAAATTAAAACTAGAAGATTTATTGATACGTCAACTGATTTTTATTGAAATAAAACGACGAAAATTCAAAAAACATTTCGTTTACTATATATTTAAAAAGAGTTGATAATAATAAAAGTACCTTATTTTACAAGGAGACAAAATTGATTAACTTTGATATAATCCTTGTATAAGACTTTAATATTGTTGTTATAAATATTTTTCATTTTCCGAATATACATATGTATATTGTGTATTCACTTTATTTTATAAAATACAGAAATTCAATGACGATTTCGTTCATTAGGAACCAAGTTTTCAATGAAATTAGAGAAGAATGCTTTCAAAGCTTCAAATAATTATATCAGTTTTCATTGCAATACCAACATTATTAATATTTCATTTATAATACTCTAAAAAGAATACAAACTGAAAGTGTTTAGTAATATTCTTAGTGAAAACTAGTGAACAATTCATAAAATTCAACATCGGCAATAACTCGAAAATACAGTTACATAGCTGTTTTTTATAGTAAATCCGTCATTTGTACACATACTGGTTTTTTGTATTTTATTATACACTCACCTTGCTTTTCCGTCCAAATTTCATGAAACATCTGGTAAACTGTGTACGTTTAACACGAAAATATATCACCCATTCAAGGAAATCTTCCTAGAATCGAATACAACAAATGATTAAGTACCAAACACTTGGGCTCCTTCGGCAAATTCTCGCAGCAATGTAAACGTACCCTCTAACCAACGAACGTGTCGACAACTATCCATACACGTTTATCATAAACCTATATGACTAATAGTACGAAATTATCGTAAGTTGTAATAATTAATAAATGTTATCGTGTAAGCGTCTGCGCGTCACCGTTGTCAATATTCGAGAAACTAGAAACTTACCCACGCCACGTTCAAAGATGGCGCTCGCCAGATCCGTGTTCAAACGAGAGCGCCCCCCGGGGGGATCCCTCGAACCAGAAAGGTGAAAAAAATATCTTGATAACCTCGAACCAGGGGTCTCTCGAAAAGCCAGCCACTCGATTTCTTTCCCAACCAATCCCGAGTGATTGCTCGCGGTTAACAGCACGACTGGTCTTCGTGATATTTTCTAACGGTCGCTTTTTTCTACGATTTTTCTAACACGAACACGAGAAACGGAGATGCGAGAGAACGTGAACGGTACCATCGTGGTGGACGATCTTCGACCAGCCGTGAGAATCGAGAGATCGAGTGCCGGGAGAGAATCGATCCTTCGGGAAGAAGAAAAATAAACAAGAGTCCCACTCGAAACGATTTTTCGCGAGGACCGTAGTAGCTGAACGTTAACGAACACCTATTAATTGCGATTCTGTACATACGAAGGAAATAGTCGTGTATATATATATAGTTATATGACACATACAAAAAAAAACATATGCGTATATATATGCGTTATCTATGGTCTAAGGTTGGATAAGCCGTAATCGAATTTAAAAGAAGCCACGGCCAGAATGGAAGAAATGGGGCACGAAGTGTCCGCGAATTCTTCGGGGACGCCATTGCGCGTCGACGCGTTGGAGGGCCTGTGTGGGCCCCGCGATAATCGCCGATCGATCGATCCAAGATCGCCTAACGATACCTTATAGTACACACGAACCTTCATCCTCGAACGATTGATTGATTGGAAGAGAATACGAACACTTGCTTACTGTCTAGTCATTAGATCGTTAGTCGAGGGCCCGTGTCCGCGTTCTGCATGCGAGCCTGTAGCATTTCCGGTCTTCGATGTCACGCGATATATTTTGTTTGGAATCAGATTCTTTTCTAACGAAGCTGCTAAATGAAATAATTCGTGAGTAACTCTTCTGATTGCAATGAAATCTGTGTAAAAGAAAGTTATTTAAGAACTTTAAGGTTTCAACTGAAAGAGTTATTTATGATAATTTTATTATAAAGATGCAGAGAATATTAAATGTTTGTTAGCTAAATATTTTTAAGAAACGTCGCAGCTATTATTATTAGGACACTTAAATTCATGGGTCAGTATTTTCGAAGACAGTCGTAGAACTAATGATTATTAATCTTTTTGGTGTGAACTTTTGTGGAATAATTTATGATTTTTATATGTCGAATTTCAGTCGTAATTATTCGAATAATGAAGTTCAATGTGCATTATTTTTATTAGAACAAGATGAATCTGTCTTCTGAAATATGGAATGTTTATAGAATCCATAGTGACTGTTCATGATATATTTGAAAAATGTTACCTATTCAACAAATGGATTGGATAAATAAATTTTATCTAGCTTAACCACTAATAAGAATAAAAATGTTGCAATATTTATGTCGATAAAGAATCGTATAACATTCAATGTTTCATAATTCGATTAATTATATTCCGACCAAAAACAAGAGGAAAGTATTAAATTCGTAGTCAGAGCGCCAAAGATATAAATTTGAGAAATTGTTACTTAAATCATTTACTATTTGAGATAAAATAACGAAAACATTTGTTACTGATAACTAGACTGTGGATGTTTATGCATATTTACAAGTTTTGATATTAATATATAACAATTATGACTGGTCAGAATATTATTTCACATACTAGAAATTTTAGTATGGTAATAATAATACATAAATGGTATTGAACTTAATGGAAATCAGTGTTTTACTGTATTTTTCAATTTAAGAAATGCTATAAATGCATAAACATCCGCAGTCGAGCGATGACTGTGCTTGAAAGAACATCAAGTAAGATTCTGTAAAAGCATGTAATACAGAGCTTTAATTCGCCAAATGCAAGGGATAACAACTGAATCGAATAAAACTATGTTACAACCAAAAGTTGTTTCTTCGTCGAACAAGGACACGGGCCGCGTTATGCCTAAATTAAGAGTATTCGGGTTAGACTTAACGTTAAGTTTCATATTAAGCGTATTTTTGGTCGACATTCCCTTAATTATAAGACGTTTATAATTACACGAAGAAAATTTTTGCGTAGATCAGCAGATTTCATTCCCCCGTTTTTCGCTTGCGTGTAATTCTATTCTCTCTATTTGCCTTTTTTATTCCAATCACAAATGATTCCGTGACGATTGTCTGTCGTTTTGCTTTTCGTTTTGCACGTGATCGTGATACAACGATCGTCCCAAAGGATGGCGAACTGTGAAAGAAAAACAGTATCCATTTATCCATCGAATTTACCGCCGTAATCGCGATCCGGTTTCTAGATTCGTCATTCAGTGTGCATCGCGGAAACGAGACCTATGTAATTAGTTGAACGGTTGACAGAGAGATTGTCCTTTTTATGATTAACGGGGTTTATAGTTGAAACGTAAAGAATTTTCGGTTTTAGAACATTGTACTGTTTAAAATTATCTTTTAAAGAAATCTTAAGTGATTTTTTTAATATAATGTCAGAATTGTGGAATTTGCCTGCACAAGATGCGGATTATAAATAGAGAAATAAAGCCGAAAATACAGAAAAAAGATAAAAATTCCAATTCGGGTATTATCTTTGATGATAAAATCTTATATTTACTGAACACTGTCATCAGTATTATACGATATTGAATAATAACTATATTCCTTGAATTTCTCTCTTCAAAATCTACTTTGTAGAAATCGAAAGTACAAAAACTCTGAAGTAAAAATTCAAACTAGGCCTATAATACAATCCGAATGAAGTCACTCAGTATTGTTAAAATATGATCTTTCATACGGAATTCATACAAGAAAGTAACATAAAAAAACACGTATTTTTTATTAAAAATAAAATATTTTCAATTTAAAAATTCACTCATACGTCACATTTTTAATGGGAAGTCTTTTAATTAAAAAAAAACAATCATTCTTCGATTGTTTTGGAAAGACAACCACGATGGGGAACGATACGTTCAATAAAAAAGGGATTCGTTCATAAACTAGAACTGCCAGCGTCGCAATAAAGTCAATAAAAAAACTTGTTTACGGACAATCTAACTGTCGATTGATCAGCCCGAACCGATTTACGTACAACGATTTCATATTGTCACACGATTTTTGCAATCTCGTAATAATGATAAGCCACCGAAACCACTCCCCCGCATTTTTCATTTTCATTTCGTTGTTCGTGCGTTTATTATATGAACGTCGAGGTTTTCCGTTTCCGCGTTTTTTATCTGTCCGGATCAAATATGTTGGGACTATTGTACATACATAGGCTCAATCATGTAACAGCGACAAGACAGCAATTACAATTATTGTAGAAACAATGATGTCTTACGAAATAAACTACAGATTAATGGACGTTTCTTTAAGGTGTGTTCTTTCAAATTCCGTAATCAATTAACGACCACTTTAGTATGTCACACAAGCTTAACCGAGTTTCTGCTTAGTGTTATCAATCTTATCTCTCGATATTTCAAGTACTATTTATTTAAAGAGAAGAATTAATTTGCTTTCACTCATTATAGATTACTAATTCTTCGAAGATTTCGTAATTTAAATTTTGTAACAGATTCATTATTCACTCAGAGAAGTAAATCATACTCTTTAATAATGTTATAAAGAGTAGCACTCCAAATACTATTTAGTAGTCATAATATTCAGTTTAAATATGAATTGATTTATTATTTTAAGTAATCCAGGAGAATATTACTATTGCTTTGCACATTATGAGGAACAGATTTTAATAATTTATGCTAAAGATTCTTATTTTAAAGTTAGTGATTGATATTAAAGATAAAGATGATGTATTTATTTTGGAAGTAAACTGTATATTATAAATAACTACAAAGCACTTAAATAGTGGACATAAGGTATCTAATTGGTATCGCGTCTCAAACATTTATAATATTTTAACACTATATTACACGTAAATGTATTTTGTCTGATTTTCAGTTTATGTGAATTCCCATTACACACAAATCCAAACATATTACAATACTAGTGTACATAAATCTTCCACATCGTTTCTAACTAGATATTTCAAATTAAATGTTGATTACTGTTTTAAACAAAGAAAACAGCAACACTATAATTACTTATTGTATGTAGAAGAATGTGACAATATTCAGGAATATGATTTACGAAGATAAAGGATCGAACTATCATTCAACACATAACAAATAAACAATTTAAGTATTAAACATGTATCGATTAACTACTCTGCCTACCATTTTGTTGTTTAAAAAATTAATCCTATCTTCCTGCAACAGATTGTTTAATTTTCTGTTCTATCCAACGACGGTAATGAGACACGCGAACGTAAACACCGGGCTTATTGGCTTTTCCGCAATGTTGTCCCCAGCTGGTAATTCCGTATAACGTGAAAGCTCCTGCGTCAAGAAGAACAGAAAAATTATCGATGAGCATATTACTTCATTAATTAAAACTATTTCATAAAACTATGTCGTTGGTTTACTAGAAGAGTCACACATCTCAAAAGTCGTTAATTTGAATAAATACGCACATTTTAGGATTTGTATCAACAAAAATTAACTCTAAAAATGAGCTATAAAATCATACTTTTTAACCAGAACAATGTCAAAATCCAAAACGGGCGTCTTTGAACCTTCTTCCAATAGTAAGGAATACACATAAAGAATATTTAACTAGAGACCTTCAAAACCCAAATACTATTAGCTATATTGTAAAAGAAAATTTTTTTTCAAATTGATTTCCTCACAAATTTACTTTTCTTAACTGTGTCATTCTTTTAGCAAATCAACAGTGTATAATGACGTGCATCAAACAAAAATCGTTTTGTCAGCTTCATATAAACTAAACGTATAGTTAAAAATATAAGAATATTTCTATATTAATGAAAAATGAATATGATAAATGACTGAAAATGTTAGTAATCTGCATACTTAAAGATTTTAGTTTAATATCAATCTAATATAAGATTTTTTTGTAAAATCTCCAAATCTTATGTTCATTACCATTGTGATAACATGCCAATGGTCCACCAGAATCACCGTCACAGGTATCTACACCCTCATCAAGGTATCCAGCGCAGACCATGCCATCGCTAATTGCACCTTCGCCATAAATATAACCGGCGCGACAAACAGACTGATCTAACAGTGGCACCCAACCATATCTTAGGTCTTTAGAATGAGCTAGAACAACCAAATAACATCATTAATTATAATTGAATTCCTATCCTTTAAAAATACGTGAGAAAAATCTTTAAAATTACTGGTCATTTTACACTATAATATATCAGGCCGTAACATCTGAAATGTCCGATTTAAATTTTAGTCAATTAGCATTCGAAATTAATTACTTGATTTTCCAGTTTCGATGCTTCCAAATCCACTGATAGTGCAATTAAGACCCGCCGGGTATTCCACGTTTTCAGGGGGTAAACAAATTGGCATGATATCCTTGCCGAGAGGAATTCCTCGTCCTTTTAACAACACGAGGGCAATATCGTTGTTCATTCGATGCCCCTTACGGAATTCTTCGTGTACGTAATAGTCCTCGATGTTAGCTTCCACTTCTGTTCCTTCGTCTATCTACGATTCATAGATTCTTGATACATACAGAAATTATTCTTAAGATCTGTTTTGATTGAATTTCGTAGAAACCAAATTTTCAGATCTACAATATGATTAAGGCTTAAAATATCAATCTTGAGTCGCCTTGTTTTAAATATATTGTAAACAATTTCATTTATTAACTTCATTGTATAACCTTTCTACTGGTCGGTAAAGACTCGAAGTAATTTTGTCTAGTTGACTAAATTGAAAATTATTCCTGTATATTATCCGAGAATTAGGTACCTACTCTTAAATGTAATTAATTAGAAAATCAGTAGTATGCTTGTAGAACAAAACCTGAAGCTACTGACTTACTATTAAAATGTATTAAAACTAGAATTTAATATTCTTACATGACTTCTATATGTATATTAAATTTCAAAAACGCAAACAAATAAATGAAAATTTGTTATTAACATAAAATAGTTACGCCGTGTGGATTAAATAGATTTGAATTACCTCTGTGTTGTAATCACCGGCGCGAACAAAATACGTCCCTTTGTTGTATCCTTCCAAACAATGCGCAGCAGTCAGCACATAAAGAGGCGAAAGAATTACGGCTCCACACCAATGGCTGGATCTACTGTGTCCCCGGACACGAATACTGGCCTGTGCATTTTAAAAACACTATAGAAATGATCTACAAACATCCTCAAGCAAAAAAGAAACATAAATAACGATAAGAAATCACTATCGTATTCGGGTAGATCCATCTCTGCATAAATTAAGGTAAAAGTAAAATAAACAAATGTTATTTATATCGACTTTTCTGTTCGTTCAACGGTTGATTTCATATCAAACGGTGTAGAAATATATACTTTATGATTATCCTAACAAAATGAAATTAACCTTTAACTGAAAATAAAATGGAATATACTCCAACATTTAAATTAGCTCCCAAACAAATCAGATATACACACTCTAACTCAATTTTACTGAGAACTATTTTTTTACAAAACTTACTATTTAGTAAAATAATAGTATACTACTTGGAAATAAATTAGACGAATATTTCTGTAGAAATATTTCAGATTCTAAAGAAGTTCGTTGATTTACCTGCCAAGGATAGGAGCCTTTTGGCGCAATGCTACCGCGCACCACCTTCTGGAATATAAGATCCTCGTCATCGTTGAAGTCTTTGAATCGCCTACCGCAATTAACCGGAAGAATGTCGTTGATGTCCGTCTCCGGGAAATCCGGCTGTGAGCCCCAGGGAAACTGCAATTATTTACTCTATAATTGGATTCGTACGCATGAAACCAGTCAAAGGATCGGGGGTCAAGGAATGAAGTAAACAAACCTCGTTGCGTAAGCTTATCATTTATTGAACTAAGAATTCGATCGTTCTTTTACAAATGTATTTATAATTTCCTATTACAACATACCGACAGATCGAACTATTAAGTAACTGATGTAATTATTACGTTGTACATAAGTTAACTCCTATAATTTATGCTACAATTAAATTACAACACAAAGAATCTTGTCAGGCAAGAGACTGAATTTTAACTATGCTATATACCTACTTGAATAAAAAGGTCTTCCCTTGGTTAGTAAATTAAACGTTAAGAAATTATGAACGACATTCATTAACAGAAGGATCTAATGTTATTTCTTTTTATATTTTGTAATGACTAATGTGTAATAAGTACAATGTTACACATAGCACAGCCACATTTCTAATATTTGTATTAGATACTAGATTTCTATTTTCTCATAATTTGTACAGATACTAGAGAACTTGATTGAAGAAGATCCAAAAAAATTACTTGTTTTAAATTTACGCTCGTCTCCTGGTAAGCTTGTTTCGATTTACCTCGGAATTGTTAACATCTCCGTGTGTACAAATCACACCTGCGTCCTCGTCGTGGTTGCAATTATGCAGACCCCAGTGATTGTGCTCGCATCTGTACAGTTGTGTCTCGTTCCCATGACAGTATACCTTGTTTCAATAAACAGTATATGTAAGTAAACGACACTGAAGTAGACAGAGTACCTCTTAAATTTAATGAAACTGTGAAAAGAACACATCACAAACAGAACATTCTGCGATGAATACAGTGTTCGGTTACTGCTGTCAGAAACATTAAGGTGCGATTCTACATATCAAAATAAAATGAAAATCAAGAATGAGGAAATTGTGTTGGAAGCTTCATTTTCAATTTATTAACAATTAAAAAAAAATACGCTCCAACCAAAAAAAAAAATACGCTCTTACTGGTTAGCCAAACATGTGACATATACTTTTCCTTTACTATAATCCTAAAGTCGCCAGGTCATTTACGAACGTTACCGGCCTACTGTCTAATAACAGATAATACTACATCCACGCTCTGTTTACACATTTTTATTGCCCTTCTGTCCTTTGCCTGGGATTCAAGTAACGTTTCCTTAATTTGTTGCCATCGTACACACTGTTATGCTCTACATTTATTACTTATATGGAGATCGCTTAGTTTCAGGAATTTCTGATCGGAATTTTTAACTGTCGATAACTTGAAAATAAATCTCCCAACAGAAGTTTGTCATTCTTGATTTTCGTTTCATTTTAAACGTGTAGAAGTAGCTCTGAACGTTTCTGGCATTAGTAACCGAAAATCCTGTACAAATCTATTTTTGAAATTCGGTATGAATTGATAAGATATAATTTACCAATTGATAATGATAAGAAAACACTTATTTTTTGTCGAAGTTATATAATTTACCAATAGATTACGGTATCCTGGACTGTTACAGTTACTTCGCAATAAGGTAGGTAATGTTATCATTGTTCACAACTTGTAATTCAATTCCGATATCATCTGACTTTGATGTCATTAATCTAATTGCATGATAATGACATAAACAAGCATAACAAACACGACCAAAAACCAAGGACAATGAAAATAATGTATGTACAGGTACATGCTGACATGATGTGAAGTTATTTACTATAATCAAAATTATAACCAATAGAAGTTGATAAAAATGATACGGTAATAAAAGACTGAAGTATTACGAAGTATACTAAAAAAACAATGTTAAGAAATAAGAAATGAAGTAGTGAGAATGTTTTTTAGTATTTTCCCCTACAAGTAGGTATATCACCTGGAACTGATAACGTGACTGTAGAGAGCAGTGCATATAATTCTATCTCCCTCTTTCTCTAAATCTTAACAAGACTAAAATATGATCTACTTACTGTCAGTTAGCTCTATAATATCGTAGGAATGTTAACTCAATTATAACAAGATCAACAAAACACAACTATAACACAAAAATGCTTTTTTAAAAATTCTTTTTTACAAAAACTTACTTCATCGAGCCAAATAGGTCCCTCTCCAGGCCCAAAAAATCCGTCCTTCTTGGCAATAGCTTTTCCACCGTATCCCAATGATCTACAGATCACCTTTGCTGCTGCGTTCGAGAAATCGTCGTCACAAACAGTGCCCCATATGCCATGGTGACGAACCTCGACTCTTCCTTCAAGAGGAGAGCTTCCATTCACTAGACGCATCTCGAAGGGTGCCTAAAACAGTCGCTCGAAATAATCAATTTTTATTCATTTTAGTGAAAATGTTCATTCACTTGAAATGCACTTGAATCCCGGTTAATGGAGTTCTTATTCCTTTTCAGATGACAAAACAATGTTACATGAGACTTGTACAATGACAAGTTGCAAATAGAGAGAGTGTTTTGTTACTCACATCGCAATGTTCTGGACTCTCGTCAGAACGATCCGGACAGTCGACAACCTCGTCACATATGAACGCAGTTGGAATGCACGTGGGACTCTTGTCACATTTCCAATGACCATCTTGACAGGTATCGACTGCTGTTTTACAAACGATGCCCACCGCTTCTTCGGGTTGGCAATTGTGAACACCCCATCTGTAAAAAAAAAGTGGAATCCCAACTTCAATTATTGAATTCATAAATGAGAGACTTCAATTATTGAATTCATAAAGACCTCCATTAAAGCACAAAACCTTAAGATTAACTCTATATTGAAACTCTGTCGTTTCGGATATGATTATTTTAAAGATTTCTCAAGTTTTTAAATATCTCTAAATTTATTTCGATGTTTTTTGTTGAATTTAGTATGTATTATACTGGCAACAATTACCCATCAAAATCACATTGACGTAGGGAAGACTCATTTCCTCGGCATCTCAGTTGATCAACCATGAACCTCGTGGGTGGATCCAGATTGCCATAGAATCCTCCCGGTCTGATCTCCAAGGCGCCAAGGACAAAGCCAAGTTCTTTGCAAATCACATCGGCATCGATCATGCCAAAGCCATCGTCGCAAACTTGGCCCCAAACTCCCAAAACTACGCAGTTTATTGTTATTAATTTCTTGGAAAATATTTTATATTTCAAAATAACATATATTTCAATCATATAAATAAACAAAAATTTGGCAAAAAAATCTGTTACATTTTACTGTAGGTATTATTTCTACATCATATTTAATGTTCACATACCGTAACATACAAAAATTTCAACTTACTTTTAACTTCAATTCTTCCTTCGTAGCTGTTATTCGAACCAGCGAGCCGTATGCTATAATCCAAATTCTCGACGGTACAGATATCCTCGTCGCTACGATCGTTGCAATCGTTCTTCCCATTACATACCTGGGTCTGATTTATACACTTCCCGTTTCCACAAGCAAACATATCGTCGCAATCTATACTTCTCTCCTTCATTTCATAATAATCGAACTCTCGGTTCGGTTTCAAGGATCCTGTCATTCCGATGTTGCTGTCGCTTAGAAGACAAACATTTCCGGCTGACCTGCAAAAAAGGAAAAACAAATAAATTAAAATACGTGCTGTGTAAATATACAGCACAAGTTCACTTTTCTCTTTCGATATTATGAAACCAGCAATATAATGTTTTGTAACTTTTTAATAAAAAAAACGATGGTGACCTTGACTAAATATGTCAAAATCAAGGTCATCGAAGCTGCCTTGTCTATTCTAAATATTTACCAAAAGTCATATCAACCACTATTTTTATTTTTAAAATCTAGACAATCAGTATTTCAAAACTAGTGTCTCTTTCCAATTTAATAATTATACATGTTTTCTACTTTTACAACTTTTACGGTGAAAAAGGATTACTCATATAACATAATTGGGTTGACATAATAATTTTTGTGAGTAAATAAATTTTGACAGATCTCTGATGAGTATCTACTAGAACTATGAAAATACTAACTGACTTACTTGTGTGCAAACGATCGACATGTAAAATCAGCCTCCTTGCACCTGAGAGCGCAGGTCTTTAACGGAGTGTTCAACCACTTTTCGACGTCGTGACCTTCTAATTTATGCTTAGCATGCTTTTCGAAAAGATCCATTTGCGACGTGCAAGCCCTTTCATCCGCACCATTTGTACAGTCCTTCAAACATAACGAATTTTCGGATATTATTGCAAGAAATTTTGCAGGAATACTTAATACTAACAGATTTTCAATAAATTTATATGAAAAAATTATTGAAACAACCTCCACCTTGTTATTCATCCTTTTTGCAATTTATAACATATTCACAACAGTTATTTGAAGCTTCTAGCAAAGTGAAATTTAAATATTATTGTTTACCTCTTCACCATCGCAAACCCATGGCGAAGGAATGCATTCTCCTGGCAAACACTCGAAATGCTTAGGTTTGCACTGACCGGTCAAACGTGACCTTTGAGTTACTGAAAGAACGAATTTAATTGTTTAAAAATACATTGTAAATATTAGATGTCACGATGAAATGAACTACTTCACAAACAAAGTGGTAGCATATTTCAAAATCATATAGTTCTCTGAACATTTTGTTCGGTAAAAATGACTAGTATCGAGAACAATGGCAAATATTATTAAGACAGTATTAACCTATACTTCTTTAGAAATAAATAACAATCCTGGTAGAAAGTAATAGATTACTGTTTGGTACTTGACACCATAAGACTAAAAATAATATTTACATTACAAAAATTGAATTAAAATTAAATTTGAATTTAATTAAAAAGATTAGGAGTGAAATAAAATTAAATTGCAAATTGTACCAATATTCCCGCAAGGTGGAATGTCACAGTATTCACGTTCCCCTCCTGGTCCAGTGAAACACCATGGCCTGGTCTCTCTATTTGGATTCGGGTTTCTGCAGTAGTTGTGAGTTTTCAATTTTTCTCTAACTTCTCGATTGACGACCTAAAACGCAATAATTGTCTCTGGTGACAAAGGTACAATGATTTCACTGAAAAACCATCATCAATAAAAAAATATGTTAATGTATCTGATCAGTAAATCTGATTTCTACATTTAAATAATCTGAAAAATCTATTTTCCGTTAATGAAATGTTTATAATCATCGCACTAAATAAAAGAGTATATTAACACTATGACGATCGGCTAGTTTCGCGAGTAACTTTAACCCGCAGCCGGTTATTTTTGTTAAGAATTGAAAAAATATGTTTTTTGCTATGTATGTAAAAAAAGTCAATAACTTTGAATATTTGAAAAGTACCAGTAGACACTCACATCACACCACTGTGACATTATTGCTCCTCATAGTGTTAACAAGTACAAAATATATAGCTATTATACATCAATAAGAAGAAAATTAGAAAAAGATCACCATAAAAATATGAAAACGAAATAACTAACATTTACTGCAAGTGGATGGGCTACTTCCTCGTTGCCCCATGAAAGACATTGTTTCCCGGATGCCGTTACGTTCGCATTTCCTGTGTATTGGCTTCCCTTTCCATAAATACAACCTGATTAAAAAAATTAAAGTGTCATATAAAACTACAGTAAGTATTAATTTCTGAATACCGTCCCCTTAAGATATACCTACATTTACATTTTAATTAAATTTACCTTGTGTCTTTAATTAAATTATTAGGTGTACAAATAAGTAATCCACTATTTCTTAAATAAAATAATATATTTTGAATTGAAAATATCCTCCCGCGTCTCTTTTCCTTAAGAATGGTGAAAAAGTGTTAAAGAACGAGGAGAGATATTATTGAAAGCTTCGTTTTGATTTTCTGAGAAACAAGTCTTAAACTGTAAAACATCTAAGAGATCAGTTATTGGTACACCTAATATATGTATTTTGTACTCAGAATTATAATATTATAATTATATACATGGAGTGTGCTTGCAAGAACTAATGATAACTATAACAATAATAAATGAATGTATCTCAATTAGAAGCTGAAGTCAAACTGAAAAGTTCATACCTATATCATCGTAAGGCCTTTTGCAAATGTAAGAGTGACCCTTCATGGAGGTTGCACAGTCTTCGGTGTCCCAGAAGAAATATTCAGCGACGCAAGTCGAATCCGGTCTTTCGTGACACGGAAACTTGCGTTTCATTACGACACAAAGAGGACGTGAACCCACGAAAGGGGGATGTTTCTTGTCTTCCATCCATCCTGGCCACCATTTATTGAATCTAACGACAATTCATACGTATAAGTAAACCGTATAAAATTATAAGAATTGATCTTCTTAGTTCCTTCATCGAGGAAGTAACTTAATACTCTTACTTATAGCTAACTGAAGCTCAATCGACGTTACTAGTGATTGTTCACAGATATAAATATTATCGCTGCAAATCAGAAATCTCAATAATACTAGTGAATGGGGAATTTTTGTGGAATGGGTAAGAATGATCTGTATTTGTATAAATATCCGCAGTCTAATAATTAGTCTATTCAATTGTGTTAATAGTCCTGAAATGATTTCCCACCTAAATTTGGCACGCGAGGAATCCTCCCAAAGCCAAAAGGAGCGATTCAGAGTGGTAAAACCAACACCGGAAGTCATGACGGAACCAACTTCCGGATGCAACTGCAGCAGCCATTCAGACAGAAAGTCGTTTTCCGCCTGGTTAACGATATCAACGAGTCGTGATTGTCGTTCCGAACAATACTGCAACGCTTCCGCATGGTTCAAGCCGCTATCAGGATCAGCCAAGTGATAACAATGTCCTTCGTACGGTATTTCGTCCTTCCGGCAATGGGCCACCCGATTTGAAATGCATCTCACACCGATCGCGTCCCTTTCCACGCGACATTCTGGTTTATGAGTGAATCTGAAAAATTCAAAATAACAGTTTTTCATTATTGAGCATAAAAGCATTATGTGTTGGAATAATAATAGAAGGAATTATAATAAAATTTTTGGAAGATTCAAATTCTTCAAAAATGTTTGGAAGAAAATTTCTTGTGACTTTCAGGCTATAGTTAAGTTGCTGCAACAGTTGACTATATGTTTTAATTCATATTTTATGGAACAGCAATTGAGTTTCACCATTCAGTATTATGTCTTGCAGAACATTTTTCGTATTGTCACAGATTCCCAGAATGCGACTCGCAACGTAGGAAAAACCAGATATGAAATCGGAAACAGCAACTGCGTAAGCAATCTCTTATCTGCTGACCGAAAAAGAAATCTATAAAGCATGGCTACTTACTTGCACAATTGAAATCTAGTGTCGTTGCCTTGACACGACACGGAATTCGCGGCGATCCACGTTGGCACTCCGTTACGATTGTTCCTTCCCTGCCAGGCCATCTCTGCGCCTCTGCAAAAATTATAGGCATTCAGCCAAAAATTTTATGATATATCTGATTTTCTAAATTTGCTAATTTCAGATTAGGCATGTCACTATCGAAATGTTCCTATATTACAATTTCTTTATTGTTAAGCCACTTCAAGAAAACATAATATTCAAGATTTTTCGGTGAAACAAACATGAGCCAAATCTGTGACGACTTGTAATTACCATAAGTCATATTTTCAAATGGTTTTCAAATGCTAGTATAGATTATATTATCAGTTTACGAAAAATTATGAAATAAATTTAATAAAAATAGCAACAATCGTTATGATGGTCCTAAAAAAAATCATTATTCCAAGCATGTATAAGTAATAATCAATACTTATATTTGACACGACATTCTTCTAAGTTAATAAATTTTGATGAATTGTACCATACCTTACGTATCCGAGTTGTTTGCACACGACATCAGCCTCTTTCAGAGTCCAGCCATTTCTGGAATCGCAAACGATTCCCCAGCCAGGATTTGTTCCTTGAACTTCGACATACCCGTCATGAGGTCCGGATCCACCCCTAAGTCGAATCACCTATCATTAAAATAGTAGATGAGTATATAAAAAATTATCAAATAATGATTACCATAATACATTATCAAAGTTAGAATTTTTAAAAGAGTAATAAACAAAATTTACGAAAATATTTATACATACAATAATCTTACAGTAATAAATATTCATTTTGTATGTTTGTTTTGTTACAGTACAGAGTTTTGAAATACTAACGGTAAAATAGAATTTGTGACATTTTACAATTTATTTCAGTAACATTGAAAATTCTCACCTGACCAGAAATCGGCGTCGGAAGGGACACTTTTCGCGAGTGATCTAATGGTTCTACTGGTGGTACATAGTAATTTGGAAATGGTGGTTCCTCTGAAAAATATTAATTGATATATTATCGATAATGTAATGAACGAAACGGAAATTAAACAAATATTTATACATTTCGAGTTATATATATGTTGATAGAATTTTAAACAACGTAACTAAAAACGAAAGAGACTGATTTGCAGCTATACAACAAAAATATAAAACTAACGTTCTGTTATTGTTATAGCTTTCAGTGATACATCCATCTGTTTACACAATAATAAAAAACGTGGAATAAATATTACAATAAATATATCTATCAGAAATAACGAAAACTAATATCAATACTTTTAACGTGATAACGAAAGCATTATTGCAAGTATGTACACTACGTGCCAAAAGTATGAGACCAGAGTTCACGATTGATGGAACAGCGACTCATTATTTTGTAGCGATATAATAAGAATTATGAAATCACTAGATATAACAATTATTTAGAATCACTTTTAGAAAGTAACTTTCATCAAATCTTTGTAGAATAATATTTTCCTTTTCCTTCAATTATGAAATCTGGTCCCATATTTTTCTCTAATAGCATATGTATGATTTTTCAAGCCCATTGTTATGACCTCATTCCAAAAGCTCCTCATGCCAAAGACGCGGCTGACTATACACTAAACATGTATTCAAAATTGAAGGAAGACTTACCTGAATTTCGTTGAATTTCAATGACTTAAATTTCGTATATAATCATTCCGAAAGATACACCTACCTTCGTCGAAGGGGGCAGCTTCAATATTGAAGAGATCCACGTCGACGTTCTTCTTATTCATTTTCATGACAACAGACGATTCCGTGGTCGTTTGAGTTTTGTTCTCGAATACCAGCACCGGTTTCCAAACTTCTTTATCGTCCAGTACGTCGACATCGTAATCCAGATTAGAATTTTCTGTTGTCAAAGAATTGTCATCGTATTCGATCGCTACGTTAGGGATGTCTGGATCCGGCGTAGTCGTGGTAACTTTGATTAGAGGTTTCTCTAGCTTCCGTGAAATCTTTTTCTTCATCGGAATTATCAGATGCTTGTCTAGAACTCTTTGTGTGGTAGTGCTGATGCTGTTTAACGAATCGTTGGAGCGATTATTTTCTTGGTAAAATGGTGGTTCCAGACTTTCAGCTGGAACATTTGGATTAGAGGTATTTGATCTATCAAGATTCGTGGGAGCCAAGAAACGATCTGGTGATAGAAAATTACTAAAATTCGATGTGTGCTGAGAAGCGTTCGGTGGTTCGTAATATGGCGGTTGAAGATCAGTTGCTGGTTCAAGTGGATAATTCGAGCTTCCATTAGAAGGTTCGTAATATGGCGGTTGAAGATCAGTTGCTGGCTCAAGTGGATAATTCGAGCTTGCATTAGAAGGTTCGTAATATGGCGGTTGAAGATCAGTTGCTGGCTTAGCTGGGTACTTCGAGCTTGCATTAGAAGGTTCGTAATAGGGTGGCAGAAGATCAGTTGCTGGCACTGGTGGATAGTAACTATTGCCTCTTGATATGTTCCTTGAACTTGGAGGCATCAACGACCGACTCGGAGGTGGGTAATACGGCGGCTGAAGATTTACTGACGGCATGACTACACGATGATGGTTTGTGTCTGTTAAATTTGTAAAAAGAATTCGTAATATTAAAGATGATACTTAAATGATTGTTAAGAGGAAAATATGGTTAATGAAACTGATCTTATGGAAGCCATTTTGAAAGATATAGAAGTCAACGAAACTTGTTGAATGGTTATTTTAGCTTAAATTATTATATATTATTTTTAACATTGTAATCATTTGTATTTTTCATTTTTTTATATGTATTTAAAACATTCCGCCGAAAATTTCATCGAATAAAAAGTCTTATAATAAACGGCTAGATTTTTGTAAGAATTTTTGTATCAATAAATACTAAATAATTATTCAAAGTAAACGATGATTACCAGATCCTGATAAATCCTCACGATTTGCTGAAGACGAATTAATTCGATAATACTTAGGAGTACGATGACCATGTGCAGGCGTAGCTCCATTGTTTGCTCTAGATGAATCATTAAAAGGATAATAATGTGGCGGTTGAAGTTCCACAGATGGTACTGCAAAATCAGTAGATCGAGCATCAATGTATATATTCTGATCGCTGCTACTAAATTGATTCGGATCTTGAACATCATTTGGTCCATAACTTTTCGTCCTTGAATGTCCTTGGTTAACTTCAATTTCTTTCGGAATAAAATGCCCCCTTGTGTTATTTACATTTACGAATACATTGTTCGGATAATGGGGATTTGATGAATCAGGAGGAGTATCTTTAACTCCTACGAGTACAAGAAATAATAGATAATAGTGAAAACAACTAGAATATAATAAAATCTGTCACGTTTTCCTACCTGGCAGATATTTTCCTTTTGTATGATTAAAAATATTTGTCGCCGATACCCACTGATTCAACTTCGAATCTGCTTCTTTATCAGTTGTGCTTTGATATAGGTTAGTTCTAGATCCCCATTCACGAAATTTGACGTCCTCATTGAGTCCTCCTAAAAACAATAAAAATTTGAATAATAGTGTTTATTGTTTTCATCGTTTACTATTCCCTATTTTTACAAAAACGAGGAAAACAAAATCTCTACACCAACTAAATTAGTTTCAACGTAAAGTACAAAATAAATTGAAAATTATGAATTGCCTGTTTGTAATTCATTAAATATTAAATATATTTACCTGTAAAAACAATCTTGCTTCTTGTAAAACAAAGATCTGTGTTTGCATATCATAATATGCCTAACTCGAGATCAATCGAGCTTACCTTCAGATACTTTTTTCAAGAAAAAAAACTTCAAAGTTTGTTTCTAATATATGATTACACAGTATTATCTGAGACCACAACAATATCTATTCATAACTTATTTTTGATATTTCAAGGACGCTGTACAACTTATCATGCTATTGAAGCAACAAAAACAAGAAAAGATCCTCATGCAGTATTCTTTCATGCGTGTCATTCGCTGTTGGCAGTAGAATGAAATGAACTATCGCAAATAAAAAAAATTAGTCAAGCAAGAAACACCGATTAAAAGTTAAAAGCAAACGCCATGATATGTTTATAAATGAATTACTAAACAACATAACCAGTTAATACCACATAAAACTGGTTAAATTATAAAATTAAATTAAAAAGTTACCTTGATCCCACTGCCTATTCTGTGGTTGAGGCGGCGATTGCCTAGAACCTTGTTGACTCCAGATACTGGGAATAAATCTGCCCCCTGACGCTACAGGCTGAGTCCAACGTGTTCTATTTCGCGTTAACGGTCTTGTATTACCATCTTCAGGCACCACGTAAGTGCTTTGCACGTAAACATTTCCATCCGGTGCAGGTTCCCGATTAAATCCTGGTTGGGAAAATCCTGGGCCAAGTCTACCATGTTCTTGTCTGTTAGGTCCAAACTCTTGCCCGACCCTTCGATTCGGAGATACATTTCCTTCATGGAATTCACCGTGTTGATTCGAAGCATCTTGTGTTTGATCGAAGGGACTTTGTTGCGTCTGCTGACCAGATTCATCGTACTCTGGGTAATCAGGAGGGGAATGAGGGCTACCGTGATGATGACCATGATGATGACCATGATGATGTCCTGAACTGTGATGCCAACCGCCATCTGGAATGGTCTGGTTAGGTCTTTCAGGTTCAGGATGACCATACGGAGGAGTTGGTTGCTGGGTTTCATTGTTTTTGTCGTACGTCGGTGCATGAGGATAGTATTGATGGGAATAGTGATTATGATGATGGTATTTGTTATCATAACTTGAACTCTGATCACTTGTTTCCGGCCTGGGATGCCACTGTCCGGTTGTGTAACCCGAATTCTCTGGACGATCCCAACGATTTGGTTGATCTGAACTTCCTGGTTGAGAAGGCAGAACATTTGGACTTCCTGGATGAGAAGGAACATAGCGATCACCATGGTCATATTGCCATTGAGGATAAGGTGGCATGGTTGTAGTCCATCCATTGGGTTTCCAGTTTGGTTTCCACGTCGGTCTTGACGAATTCCAACCTGCTCCTGGTGATTTTGTGGTTGTCTCAGTGTTGTGCGTCCATATTGGTCTCCATGTTGGACGTAAGACATCCCAGTCAGTTCCTGGACGGCTTGTCGTCACGGATGGTTTGGTTTGTCCACGTGGTAAAAATCCTGGCCTGTAGTGATCCTGTGATGTACGATTATATTGACGAACGTGTTCCCAAGTTCTTGAATCTGAAGTACCACCTGATGTCCATGGTCTGGTTGTAGTTGGTTTCTCTACGCAAAGTAAAAGAAACTTGTTTCGTGATAAGTAATAATGCACTCTGTTCTAATGATAGATACAGAACAGATGAATTAATTAAGTACAAATGGGTAACACCTATATCTCGATTTACGCAGTAACTTTTTATACGACGTGCCAGTTTTTCTTAATAATTGTATTTCTTATATGTAAACTGTGAATTTTATGCATTTATCGCATACACGATTGTCTGAAGCTAATTGTAACTATAGTGAAACTTTCGATGAAGTTTTTCGACATTTTTATTTTCGGTTTAATCCTATAGAAGCCATAATGGATCTATCAAATTTCTATTGAACTCCAATCGTTGTAAATCACTCGAGAAAAATCGATATTTCCATAAACACGTGCAGTCTACTTATATTAGTTATTTGCTAATTACCTTCGCTACAACCGGGTACCTTGTGAGGCCAATCGCAGACGGTTGTTAAAGGATTAAACGCTGTTCCAGGACCACAGTCCATGATAAAAGTAACTCCATTTGCACATTGAAGAAACTTCTTACACGTATCAGGATGAGGTAATAATCCCGAATGATCTGGAGGACAAGAAACCTTTTTCACTGGTTCATAGTTATTATTCGCCAGTTTCATATGATTGTAAGTCTCGTAATCAGGCGGAATTAACGGTGTTGTAGTTTCCTCCTTGGACTTCGATGAATCTGTTCAACAAATTTATCCCGTTTATTAGTTATATTCAATCCTATGTGAATACTTTCATTTATTATTGTAGCTAGCAATTTTCTCATGGATCACTTTGTTACCTTCACAGCCCCTTACATTACGGGGCCAATCACAAACGTTAACGGTGGGGTTGAATACTGTGCCAGGACCGCAATCCATGATATACGTTCCGCCGTTTACGCATTGTAAAAATTTTGTGCAATCTGACGGGTGCGGTAATAAGCCAGTTATGAAAGGCGGGCATCGTGGTTCCTGTAAATAAAATTCAATACGAATTATGCAGAGTGTTCCATATAAATATCACCGGGAAGTTTCAGAATTTCGAAGTAAAATAGATTTCTATTACATCTAATCTTACTGCGAAATTCCATACAGCTACTTTCAAGGTAGTAAAATTATCCGCAAATGAATGAATAATAAAAAAATTGGTTTGTTCAAATGAACCTGTAGCCTTTCGTGTTCCAGAAAAGTTTGCGAGGTCGACAATAAAGGCTCTCGTTTTCCGGACGATTCCAAAAGATCGCTCGAAGGAAAATCGGCAACCTCTCCGCCATAACAGTTGACTTTGTGCGGAAAATCGCACTCCAAAGTCTCCGGACTGAACAAAGTTCCGGGTGCGCATGGTTGGACGAAAGCTCTTCCCTTCCAACAATTAACGAAAAATTTGCAGTCTAGTGGATAGACGAACTGTCCCGTTGAATCAATTTCGGGACACTGTGCACCTAGTCTGGGGTCGTGTCGAGCGACCGTCGATTTCGGTTTTGCAGGGACAATAAAATTTTCCTTATGTGATTTCTGGAAAGAAATTAAACAAGGATATAGAATGGTAAAGAATAAGTTTAAACTATAAAAAACATTTAAACATGATCAGTATATTAAAATTTAGTCATATTGATATTTTAACGTCGACAGATTTTTCTTCGATTAGTTTTCTGTGACTGTTTTATATCAATTAATGTAACTTAATATATTTACCGTGTTGTCGGTGGATATTCCTTCATAAAAATCTTGATCACTGTCTACTTTTGGTTCGTTCCCTTTGTTTTGAACACGATTACGATCCTGGTGTTGTTCTAAATCATGAGAACTGGATGGTTTCGAAGGAAATTTCCGATTTTCTTGTTGCTCGAACTGATCATTTTCCAAGAAATAATCACGATTTTGATCGAGATTTGTGGATGCTCGAGGATCATCTGTAACCTCTGTTCTTTGCTCGATATCACTTTCGGAAGTTTTTCTCCAAGGACTCCAGGTCTTCGTCTCAGCATTCACTACGAACGGTTTTCTAGGACTTGGGTCGTCTGGATCCGTCCGCCATTTTGGAGAACGCGATGGATCCTTATTTGACTCGATATCGTCTTGGTTAGACAAATACCAGGGAAGTACCGGTTCCCGTCGTTTTGGTGGTTTTGTCGTTATTTCCCTAGGGTCGAAAATCTACGCGATAGTACAAATAACAATTACCAATATATAAAAAACACCAAAGTTTCTATAAAGATGTGTTCATAAATACTCAAGTCTTACGTGTACGTAAAAATTCAGAACTACTCTATATATAACTTATTGCATGTGGAAAATTAAACTAGACTACGATTACATATGAACAATTAGATCGAATAAAATTTTCCGCCACATATTAATAAGAATTTTTCTGCTCTGTATTGTAATTACTGTGTGTTTCCGTACAATTTCTAAATGATAATTCTAATTCATATTTCATTTCTACAAGTAATGTCAATATTCCCAAACACACTGACTTGGTTAGTTATCGTTCATATACGATTATGTAATGTTTACGCTGTAAACTGTCTTATGGACTATACGAAGTAATAGATGCTGATTGCACATTTATTTCTCTAATTTTTAAAAATTTCTATTATTACTTTTATAAACTGACAGAGTACCATTATTTTTTGTATAATAATATTCTTAGGAAATTCTGAAAATATGGTCAGCTATTCGTTTGTAAATTATGTAATGTTTGAAATAATTTATAAACGTTCTCGATAAATTTATACTGAAGAATTTTAAGTTTGTGCAGACAGGTGAGCACCATTCGTTTACAATCGATCCCTGAAGTTGTGCTCGCTTGTTGTGAAACACGCTCTGCAACTCTGTTGCTAATTCAAGCAGCTTACACTCCATACTGTTATTTCACCTTATCAGCACTTATCTGACTAATGAATAGTAATGAGGTCTTTCTTTGCACAGATCGCGATCTTTATACACATATTAGAGATTCAATATTTCTACACCGTTGATTTATAAAGCGTTAAATAGAAATTAACGTTGTATTAAGTTAATGTTAAATCCGTTTCAACAAACATTTTATCAATTGGGTATACATGAAAATACTTTTATTGGCACACTTGTTTCACAGCGTGCAGTCTTAAAGTAAATACGCTAACGCTATTTAACAGGTGGAGCCCAAACGAGTACAGCTACTTGACGAAGAAAGCCATTTCGTTACTCCTTGAAGAGACACAAATAGCTGAAATATTCCTATAAACGATACACCCTTAAAATATTAAGTGGTAGAGAAACATGAACTAAAAACAACGAGTTTGATCGGATTAATTCTATCGGAATCATCAAAACATTGTGGAATCTTCTACTTCTGATATAAACTTTAGTACCATCTTTAATATATTTTTTAACATCATATATTAGATGGTTCCGAGGAGTCGAAGAACGCTAGAAATACATTAAATTTTATTACAGAATCCTTCAGTTTGCTTGCAATGATGCAACAATGCGTAACAAAACATGATCAGTCGATCATTCAAGATACCAAGCGTAACTAATACTTCTACGCAATACCCTGCAACACACTACCAATGTTCAAAAAATTTAATATCATGTCCCTATGAATCTCTATGCAAATTCAGATCTCTTAGCACTCTCGCAGAAACAAGAATAAAACAGAAATTAATATTTTCTGCGAAGAATGTTCTCTAGTCTCAACTAAAATACAAACTTTATTACGTCATCATTAGCTTCGTCGATTTATCGTACTCAATGGAATCACGTGCGCCGCAAGTGCATCAAATCTGCAGACAGTACAAATATATCCGAAGTAAAACCGCTTTGATTTTATTAACTCTCGTGCGCTGTTCAATAAACGATTGCATTACTGTTCTTTAAATTGAATTCAGACTGAATTAAAATTAAATTAAGGGAATATATTCTCCTATCGCTGGATTATAATATACGTAAGCTATTGGTGTCAGATTAATTTGCATATTTCTAGAATAAAGATTATAATTAATAATCACTTTTCATCGCAATATATATACACATCGGGTATAATTAACCCGACCAGTACAACAGGGGTTAATCTTTCGATTCCTATCCAACCATCAAGTGTAAAGAAAAATCGAGTTTCCTGCCTGAAAACTGGACTTACTCGAACCGCAAGAACTCAAGAAGCATTTAGAACAGAAGCTTCCTCTATTTAATTCCCCCGCAATTGTATTCACCACCGGACACGTACGTATACCCATCTCTCGAGGGGCTCGACGATCAATTCTCAAAGTGTTAAAAATCACGTGGGCCGGAAGCACACCCGGGGGGGTCAAACAACGCAAGAATGGAGGAGAGACAGAGAGAGCACGTACCGCATGAGCGAACCCGATCACGGAGAGAAGAGCGAGAAGGACGACGAGACGATCGAACCGCGACATTATCCCTCGTTACTAGCACGATACTCCAAGCATCTCGCGTCGTACTGATCCCCTATTCCCCATAAAACCGGCTGGTCCCGATCCCCGGATCGGGTGAGCCGTCGCGTCGTAGTCGGCCCCGCGTTCTTACTCGGAAACAACAGATAGCTGGTTGTCGTTCTTGGGAGAAAACGCGCAATGGTTCGGGGAAAAGAAAGGGTTATCAGTCGCGGAGGTCGAGGGTCGGCTGGAGATCAGTGACGGGGAAGGGAGTCGCGTATAATAGAAAAAGACAGGGAATTCGGTGGAACGTTAGAGGATAGAGTGAAACATATGGACAGATGGAGAGAAACAAAGAAAGACACAGACGTTGATTGCCCGCTACCAGACAGCGAAAGAATGAGAAATAAAGAGAGCGAGAGACCGTGTGCTTTTGTCAACGCGGCAATCGAGCGAATGCACACAGAACACTGTTTGCCAATTGACTAACAGGAGAACAAATTGGCCCTTGTTGGTAATAATCAAACACGGCCGGTCTGGTAAAGAGGCCGACTTGCATGCTGGCGGCGGTTGCAAACACCACATCGGGGACCAGTAAGCAAACACGGTGTTACTCGTTACATGAATTCTCTGGCGATTTTTATTCTCGATGTGTTACATAATGACGGGAACGGAAGACGGTATGCTTATAGCTTGATCATGGAAAACTGTGCTTTTTCGGTGAACGACGATCGCAGTTGATGGTACCGCGGGTCCGATGGGTACAGGTCCCGGTCGTCGGATCGAACACGTACGTGTACTGACAGTTGGTCAGGGTGCAGACACCTTTCCGACATAGTAGGTACTTCGAGCAGTCTTCCAGATACGGTTTTACGTCGAATTCCTTGCCCTCCTGTGAATCAAGGAATACGGTGAATATTGAATAACAATCGTGCGATCTACAGTGGCTGTAAAAAGTATTCGTACACCCTTTAAAACTGAACAACTCTTTTAAAATTGGTCCAAGTGACTTGAGTTGTTTTTTCTGAAGTTAGAGACATTAATTTACTAAATGATGTGAAAAAAGAATTTGAAAATTTGCAATTGGTCCGAATCGCGAAGAAAATATTAAAGGTTGTGTTTTACAACTTTTTAATCTGAGGCTATAATGAAAATTTAATAAATACGTATCGAAGATTTATGTTAGTTATATACATGTTGATAATTTCAGCAAAATCGATTAACGTTGCTACGAGATACAAACGATTAAAAATGTTGAAAATCGCAGTTTTTCCAGACTTTCGATCTACAACTGTAGTAAATTTAACAATTCTCACATCTTTTTATGCCTGTCGCTCGGTTCTGTATTAACCGATTTCAATGAAAGTTTCAGTATGTACATAACTAACATAAATCTTCGATACGTATTTATTAAATTTTCATTATAGCCTCAGATTAAAAAGTTGTAAAACACGACCTTTAATATTTTCTTCGCGATTCGAACCAATTGCAACTTTTTCAAATTTTTTTTTTCACATCATTTAATAAATTAATGTCTCTAACTTCACAAAAAACAACTCAAATCATTGAATTTTAAAAGAGTTGTTCCGTTTTAAAGGGTGTACGAATACTTTTTACACCCACTGTATGTTCCCATGGTCGATCATTTGCCTGAGAATGTTTTTTTTTCTTTTTCAAAGCTGTGCTCTCTCGAAACATTTTATCGTTACATTATTACGCCGAGGAGTAATAATGTACTCGGTTGGTTTAGATAGTTTGTTAAGAATATAATGATATTAAACTTTGTGCTATGAGAAACAAATAATATTCGTGAGTAATGAGTTCAGACAATATGTTCATCGAGAATCCAAAGCGTCATTATTACAAAAAAGTATTGAACATTGTATTTGCATTTGGCTTCGTAAAGAAAAAAACAAATTCAATGATTTCCGTAATTTTAAGTCTTTACAGAATAAGTCTTGATATATTTGTCGTATACAAATTTCAAAAGGAATAAAAATAATGAAGATTACATAATCGAGTGAATGTATTATTTTTGTTCACAGTCTGTATCAAAACTTTTGCGATAATTCAATATTGACGCCGAATAATGGGGAATTCCTCTTGAAATCTAACTTTACTGTTTCTACACTTTACTCCCACTATCACTATAAGAAACATCTGTTAACGGATATTTTCCAAGCACTTAACCAAATATACACCCTATACCTTTCACGTTATCCGAGAACAGACGGGGACTAGAAATATTTTTAACACCTTTTACTTTCTTATCTTAATATGGAAAATATATACTTATACGAGGGGTATTTCCAAAGTTCTAGGAATTGTGTTGTAAATTTTTTATTTTATTAATTTTCGTCTACATTACATTGTAATTGTTCAATGTCATTTCCGTTCAACTATATGCACTTGTCCTAGCGTGGAACTAATTTCTTAGGCCATCTAAAAAAATTTTTGAGGAGTCTCTTTTACTCACTGGTTTACGGACATAATTTAAGTCTTGAAATCGCACACCACGTAGAGGTTTTTTCAATTATAAAAACAGATGATAGTCGCTAACTGTCAAATCAGGCGAATAAAGTGGATGTGGAAGTAATTTCCAGCACAATTCGTTTAAAACAAATTTTTTTTAAAATAATGGCTCTTTGAGAATTTACTGCGTCTTTCGTAGATGCAATATTAACACTTAAAGAACATATCTGTATTCGCCAAGCGGCTAAATCATTCCGATCGGCGTTGACTAATATCGTTGGGAAAACCTGTCAGAGTTTTTTATATTTGAAAGAATTAATCATTATCCCTGCATTATTTAACCAGATCACAATTCCCAGAACTTTGGAAACACCCTTTGTATTATTAATTAACAGTACATAAATGGTATGCTCACCACTTTCACCTTCTTAGCGACGGAAAAAATCAAACAGAAACATAACGTAAAGAACAAAATCAATGACAGGGACCTCATCGTTTTGCAAACGAAAGTATTAATTCAATTACTGTTTACTTTATCTCACGTCGAGACTGTAATCTAATTATCCCGTTCCGTTGCCACAATGATGAAACAGTTCAAAAGGTTTTACAGTGTACCACCATAAACCATCTGCCAGGCACCCGAGCAAAGGTCGTCCCTGCACTGTTGCACTGTTGTACCGTACTTGCGGGCAGTAGTAAACGTGTATCAAGCATCGAATGTCGTTGAAAGAGGACGGAGGACCACTCGTGGCTAAATTACTTTATGTCAATTACACTGACAGAGTCATGAGCAAACTTCTTTTGAAAGTTAATGACTCAAACGTCTCTTTGAATTTCGAAGACGTTTCTCCTGCAACCTCTTTCAAACAAAATGGGACTTAAGAAATGACAGTCTCGAAATTATTATTTTTATTCATTACAACAAATGATTGTAATTTCTATTAAAACAAACTTAAAGTTAACACTAAACCTACCGAAACACGACCAACAGCCTCTATTAACAAAACTCACAAATTTTCGATGATTTAAGACTTTAAAAACAAAATAAAGTGTGTCTGGCTACGTACAGCCTTTATCACTGTGTCAGTCGATGTGTTAAAAATGCTTTCACATTATATGTATATCATGGTTTTATTCTTTCACGTGTCGTTTACAATTGGCATTTGGCACTTTCGGGGGAATATCACACGTTCCGATAATAGGATTAAATTCATGTCCCCTGCGGCATGAATGAAGGATGCACTCGATGGCATCACAATCCCAGTATTTCGCACAATCTTCTGGGTAACTGCGGCGGTCTCCCTGCAATTGTTAATACAAAAGAGAAACTGGTACAACCTTCCAATTGACTGGTGATTGGGGTAAACGCACCAACGAATGAACACTTGGAGATTTTGTAACCATTAAAATCGGATTTTAAACGATGATAATGTTAATAAATATTTGGCACACAAAAATTAGATTTGTTAATGTCTATACCTTTTTATAACTTACAGATTTCAATTTGAAAGATTGGAAAAATGTAATTAATTAAATTAAAAAGAAAATATTCAGATTTCACCGGTGAATGAACAACACTATGTAAGTAAATGAACATTTCTGACCAATGACGCGAAATTGTTTGAATATGAAGTAAGGAATTGAAAACAATCAATATTTAATCATTTGCTTAATTTAATAACTTAATTTGCTTGCTTTTATACATAACGTTCATTCACAGGTACATGTTCATTTACTGGTGCATCCACCCTAGTATGTACATTGTTAATTAATCATGATTTCAAAAAGATTTCACATAGTATTCGCAATCGAAATTTTCTCTATTACACGGAAAACATGGAATATTAACGTTAGGAACGTTTAACAAATTTTGTATGGTATTAATTAAATTTGGTGTCACATGAATTTTAGTCTTTTTTTGTATTAGTGATAAACTACATGTTTGTAATTGTAAACCATGCAGGTAAATACTTACGTATGCAGATTCGCAGAAGAGTGAAACGATGCAAAGGATCGCACACATGACGATTGCGTGGAAATTCATTGTAACAGGTGTGTGTTCCGTAAATTCGTCGTTCAAATTCTAATTATACTTTCGTCGAAGCTATCAAATTTATATACCCGGTTTATCTAGAGGAAATGAAGATAATGTCCTACTCCGATACATTGTTTTATATTTACGTAAATCTTATCGTTAGTATGTATCATATCATTATTCGAGCGCAAGCCGCACGGCAAATTAATATTACGAAACCGCTGAAAAACTTGATGTTAATGAGGTCTCGCAAAATAGAATATGATTTGATGTTCAGTTGATGTATCCTTATGACAGTTACACTAACAGAGTCTCGAGCAACCGTCTGTAGAAAGTTAATGACTCGAACGACTTTTTAAATTTCGAAGACTCTTCTGCAATCTCTTTCACACAAAATACTTGACAAATAATAATCGAGAAATTATTTTTTTATTCATTATAAGGAACGACTATGATTACTATTAAAACAAACTTAAACTTAATAGTGAATTGTATACAAGATGTATAAATATTAAT